GGTGGTGGCGTATAGATGCCTTCGCCAAGATCAGGACCACATCCCAGAAATCATTTCGAGCTCCCGGACAAAGTGCCGAAACAATGTCGGACGAGTGCCTCGCGGGGCCCGACACGGGAAAACCATCGAGTTTCGGTATTTTTTTGGTGCTCGAAATTCTTGTCCGCGATCAAGGCTAGAGGTAGGTTGGAACACCGTGATCCCAGGCTCATGACGTCCTCATTCTGCCACGACGTGGGTCACCAGAGGTCGGGGCCCCTTCCCTGGGGCCGCTCTTTCCTCCAGGGCCGCCTGTGGATGGTCCCAGGGCCCGGCCGTTGGGCGCGAAGGAACGGGGGGGGCGACAAGTGAGGGGCGGGGGGGAGGGGGAGGAGGAGGAGGAGGAGGAGGAGGGGAAGAAGGAGGATTTGTTTGACCTCGACGCGCCATCGAAGGCCTCAAAGCGAGGATCAGACGCCCGCCTGCTAGGATGAGGAGCAAGGGGCCTCAGAAAAAGACTGCAACTGTGCTCCATGACGACCATCACGACACGGCACAGTCTAGCGGCTATATACAACGGGGGTGCCGCCCCACCCCCGGCCGAGTACGAGGAGACTAAGGGCAGGCCGAAGGCGAACGTCGACTCCGGTACGCAGCCAGCAGCTCCTCGTCGGGCGTGGACACGGGGACGCCCAGGGTGCGCACCAGCAGGCGGCACTCCTCGGCGGCGATGACGACTGCCTCCGCTGCCCCCGACGCCGCAGCGCCAGGACCAGCTCCAGCAGCTTCCATCTCCATGGGCACGACGTCGGAACTCGGCCGCACCGCGGCCTGCCGCACGACGCCGTCGGCCCACTCGTCGTCGTCCACGTCCGTCTCGACCGCAGCAGCCTCCGCCGCGGCCGCGGGCCGAGGGCCCGCGTCCGCCGCTCCAGCGACAGCACCACCAGCACCAGCACCAGCACCAGCGACAGCAGCACCAGCAGCAGGCGGAACAACGCGCCCCGCAGCGCGCGCCTCCGCTACGCGGCGGCGCCGACGCCGTCGGCGCTCCACCTTCGCTGCCGACAGAGGCGTCGGTTCGTTCTTGTCCTCCTGCGCGACGACGTCGCGGCCAGGCGACGCGTCGGGCGGCGCCGAGGCGGCAAAAATCACCGCCGACACCGCCGACCGCGTCACGACAGCGACCGTGCGCCGCGGCGCTTGGGCAAACACCGCGACACGGACAGCAGCAACCACCAAAGCAGCGCCATCCGCGACCGAGAGAGCCTCTAGCGAGGCGCGAGGCGTCCATTCCGATGAGGATGAGGATGAGGATGAGGATGAGGAGGAGGAGGAGGAGGAGGAGGAGGAGGAGGAGGAGGAGGAGGAGGAGGAGGAGGAGGAGGAGGAGGAGGGGGAGGACACGTGTCTTCTTCGGGCCCCGAAGCCCCCCCCTCCTGGGCCCTTCTGGGCCCCCCTCTTGGGGCCCAGGAGGACCCCCCTTTCTGCAGCCCTCGCCGCCCCCCCCCGCCCCGTTTGCGCGCCCCCCCCCAGCGCGCGCCCTCCGAGCCCCGAGGGGCGCGCGCCGCCGAGCCTGCCCCTCGCCCTCCCCGGGAGGCCGCGGGCGCCCTTCCCCGAGGCCGGAGGCGGGCCCGCCCCCGGCGCGGCGCCGCCCGCGGCCCGCCGCCGCGCGGGGGCCGCTGCCGCGGCCAAGCAGGGGCGCCTCGAGGTCGGCGGGCGGGCCCGGAGGAGGGCCAGCCCGAGGCGGCGGCGGCGGCGCGCCTCTCTGTGGCAGCTGCTGTCGGCGCCGAGCGTGCCGGTGCTCGGCCCAAAGGTGCCCCCCTCGGCGGTGGACAAGCCTCCCTTTCGTAAAAACCTCCCCTTCGCGAAAACGGCCCGGGACCGAAACCGACGGACCCGGGGCCGCAAAAATGACGGCCGCGACGCCCTCTCGCGAACCGAAAACGGCCCATTCCTGAATCGACGTGTCAGGGTAGGAGGTCGATCCACCTCCGACCCCAGGAGGTTGACCGAGAGGGGCTCATGTGCAGTCAGGGCGTTGAGATGAGGGCCGCTTCAACGCAAGGATGGGCTCTGGTCTCCGGGTGGTTCCTTAGGCTGGTCCAGGTCAGGGAACCTTTTCGCGGCCGAGGCTCGCCGTGGCCAGAAATGACCTCATTATTTCCCTGACAACCGCCGATATGTTTTTTTTCCAATGCGGGGCCCGGGGTGTCCCCAGCGTTGCCCGCGCTCTTTGGGGGCCCTCGTGGGCCTCGTGCGAGCATCGGGGCCTCCCGAGAAGAGCCGGGGCCACCCTGCGGGCGACTTCGACCCCCTCGTGGGCCAGGGTGGCGTGCGCGCCGGTCCTGGGGCCGGGATCGGGCAGGATCGGTGAGGTGGCCAGCTGGCGTCTCCCGAGACTTGGGCCAGGGACGCCTTCCCCAGACCTTCGGGGGCGGAAAAGAGGGGGGTGATGACTAGGGGGGGGTGGATATCATGGCGGGGGCCATGATATCACCCCAGATTTCATGGCGCCTCTTCTTGTTTCATTACGTCCCTGGCCCCCCCGCTGGGCCGCGCACATGCCGCCGGTCATGATTTGCACCCCCCCCTCTTGGACACCCCCCTCTTGGCCGCTCCCGAGACCTCCGACGGTGCTCGTCGTCTCCCTCCGCCGCCCCAGAGGCCCCTCCACCAGGGGCAGCGTGTTCGGCCCCGGCCCGCTGGCTTGAGGGCCGCGGGGCCCGACACGGGGCCCCAGGTGGCCGAGACCGAGGGAACGCGGCGGGAGCGAGGCCATCGGCTGTGAGCGAGGGGGGAAGCCAGAAGGAGCAGGCCCTCGCAGAAGGCGGCGGGGCTTCTCAGAAGCCCTTCGGCCTTCTGAGAGGTTTTCCTCTGCTCTCCGGGGAAGGCGCAGAACACTTCTCAGAAGGCCGGACGCCTTCCGAGCCTTCGCCTTCGCCTTTCACTTCCCCCCAGGCTCGCCGCAGATCATGGGAGCCTCCCATACCATCTTTGTTGGCTCCTGCAAATCAACGCTGGTCGACGCTCAATCGACGCGTTTCGACGTTAAGTCGGCGCGACTTCATCGTTTACCAAACGGTCATCGACGCTAGTGCGCTCTAGAGACGGAATTGCGAGGGTATGCAAGGCTCCTGTGATTTGCAACCGAATCGCCTCATGCGGTCCTTCCTCACAAATCGTATTCGCGCAATCGCGGTCTGGATTCCGGGGCGCGATCCCGAGGATGCGCGGTCACACAGATACGTTCCTCGAGGGGGCATCTGCGAATAACACGCCCTGTATCCGCGGGGTCGCAGCCCAGCGGCCTGGCCCGCGAGGCCGCTGATACGGATGTTTTTCGCCCACCAATGGCCAGGCTCGTGTGCAGTCATCATGTTACCACCAGACTCGCGTCAGTCATCGCGCCGACCCAGATCTCCGACGATGCATTTTGTTTCAGTCCTGGAATTGCTCCTCGATGTCGGCTTCAGGTCCTGACATCGGCCCCTGGGAACATAAACAAATGTCCGGGCGAAAAGCTTCGGGAGCGGCCAAGAGGGGGGGTGTCCAAGAGGGGGGGGGGGGGGGGGGGCAAATCATGACTGGCGGCACGTGCGCGGCCCAGCGGGGGGGACAGGGACGTAGCGAAATAAGAAGAGGCGCCATGAAATCTGGGGAAGTATCATGGCCCCGTCATGATGTCCACCCCCCCTAGTCGTCACCCCCCTCTTTGCCGCCCCCGAAAGCTGGCCCAGGGGAAGGGGTGGGGGACCTCCGGGGCCCCAGAGTGATCAGGAAACATCCATCGGCGGACGTCAGGGAAATGGTAGACAACATGGCGTTTCTGGCCACGGTGAGCCTCGGCCAGGAAAGGGTTCCCCGACCTGGAGCCTAAGGGACCACCCGAAAAAAACAGAGATCATCCTTGCGCCGAAGTGGTCCTCATCTCAACGCCCTGACTGCACATGCTCCCCTCTTCGTCAACTTTACTGGGCGGCTCTAGCTGTTGCGACGAGGATCCTGCAGGAGGCTCTGGAGCTGATAATTGTGCAACACAAAGCTGCAAACCAAAAATGACAACAAGAAAAGAAGCAGAGTCGGAATCGGAAACTGAGCCAGAACAATGACGGCGACGGGACTGAAAAACAGCCACTGTAAAGCAACAGGAAAGGTAGCGACAGAACCGAAACAAAAACGGATCTAAAACCAGCCCCGTCGTTTCCGCTGCTGGCGTCTCGACTGGCCCTCCTACGAACGACGGGCGCGCCCTGACGCTATGGCCGCGGGTCCAATGGCGTGCCGATGGTTGCCGGCCGCCAGGAAGAGCTCGGAGACGTCGCGCCGTGAATCCGACCCGCGTCGGGGGCTGCCGACCCAAATCTCCGACGATATGATGGATTCGGCGGCGAGCCCAGGGGGGAAGTGAGAAGGGGCGGGCCTTCGTCGAAGGCTCGGAAGGCGCCGGGCCTTCTGAGAAGTTGTTCCCCGAAAGCACACAAAAAACCTCTCAGAAGGCCGGAGGGCTTCTGAGAAGCCCCGCCGCCTTCTGCGAGGGCCTGCTCCTTCTCGCTTCCCCCCCTCGCTCACAGCCGATGGCCTCGCTCCCGCCGCGTTCCCTCGGTCTCGGCCACCCGGGGCCCCGTGTCGGGCCCCTTGGCCCTCAAGCCAGCGGGCCGGGGCCGAACACGCTGCCCCTGGTGGAGGGGCCTCTGGGGCGGCGGAGGGAGACGACGAGCACCCTCGGAGGTCTGGGGAAGGCGCCCTTGGCCCAAGTCTCGGGAGACGTCGGCTGGCCACCTCACCGATCCTGCTCGATCCTGGCCCCAGGACCGGCGTGCACGCCACCCTGGCCCACGAGGGGGTCGAAGTCGCCCGCAGGGTGGCCCCGAGAGGGCCCCCAAAGAGCGCGGGCAACGCCGGGGACACCCTGGGCCAAGGACGTCTTGTTGGCAGCCCCCGCCCTCGGCTGGCGGCGCGCCTGCTGCTGGCGGCGCGTCCGCCCAACCGTTGCGCGCCGCCGAGTTGTGGGACCGCCCCTACGCCTTCCGCTTGTCGCCGTCCTGCCCCTTGTCCAGAACGTCGTTGTACTTGGCCCTGGCGTCGCCACCGGTCTCGAGGTGGCCGAAGAACCGGTGGTGGTCGACCACAAACGCAGAGATGTCCTCATCCTTGTGGAGGCACTCCTGAACCACGACGCGGTCTATGACAACCTCGGCCAGGTTTTGGTTCGCCCTCTGGAAACACCTCAGCATCTTGGCTGCACCCCTGCCAGTTATCAGCGAGGGGCGAAGAAATGTACAAGATGAGGTTGTCCGCCGCGGGGGCACACGGACAGCCCATTGCTCCCGTTCATCCGTGCTCCTTTTCCCTGCTCCTCTCCGCGTCACCCTCCCTCCTCTACAACTCCGCGTCACCCTCCCTATTCTCCTCCTCCTGGAATCGAGAGTTCTGCCACACTGGATCCGGGTCGAATGCGTGGGGACGCGCCCGCTTTGGGGGCACTGCTGGCGCCAGGAGGAAGTAACGCAACCCAGGGGAGGAACACCTCACCCTGCACCCCCCTTCGCCCCTCGGGTATCAGGTAGCTGGACAGCCAGACGTTTGGCATCTTGGGGTCCTTGACGGGCTCCTTCGTCACCCGTAGCAGGCCCAGCGTGTCGTCGATCTTGACGCCCATGGGCCGGAAGGCCAGAGAGGCACACACGAACAAACTTCAGAAGTCCGCGTGCAGAGAAGCTGAACAACGTGGAGGTTGGAGATTCCATGAAAGCGGATGTGGCCAGGGCTGTAAACATTGGCAGGGGCTGGAACGAGCCCGAAATAGCTGGGATGAGACCGCCAGGGCTGGAAACCCTGAAGGACATTGGCCCAGGCTGGCAGGCTGGATCACCCAACCTCGCGCGTCGCGCCCCGCGATGATCCCCGCGCCCCCTCCGCCCCTGCGCCGCCCCCTTGGAGAAGAGGCGGCAGGGCAGGCAAGCGCCCCGAGAGGCTCCGAGAGCGCCCGGGGACGCTCTGAGAGCTGGCTCCCCTCGGCCTGGCCCCGCCCGAGACAGGCTGGCCCCGGCCACCTTCTCCAGCTTCCCTGCACGGGTCCGCACCAGCGCCGGACCCCCTCCCCTCATCCGAGCTGAAGGGGCCCTGGGACACACAAATCAATACACACATAGATAAAAGGATCCCCCCTAGTTTCCCGTATCTTCTGGGTTGCCGTCTTCCCCCCCAACTGCCCGCATTTCCCCATCTTTTCTGGGGAATCGACGATTACTCGTGTCCGTGTGTTTTTGTTCCCTCCTGATTTTCCAGCTTCCCTGCACGGGTCTGCACCAGCGCCGGGCCCCCTCTCATCCTCCGAGCGGCGGCCTGCGCCGAAGGGCGTGCGCGGGGCGAGGGGACCCCGGTGAGGACGGAGGGAAGCCCCCCGACGAGCATCCGAGAAGTGTATGCTCCTGCGCTCTTCCACAGGGGCCATCAAAACTCTAATCGGGTCGGGCGAAAGGGGGGGATAGCAAAGTGGGGGGTTTGAGAATCAGCTCACGTGGCTGATTTTCCCGGCGCCTCCCGGCGCCCGAGGCGGCTATGTGTCGAGGAATGGGCCCCTCGGTGAAGCCAAAACCAGCTGCACGCAGCAAATATCGTACCCCCCCCTTTCCTAATCCCCCCCCCTTCGCCCAGCCCGATCTATCCAGGACGAGAACCTGTCGCTGGGTTCAGGACCTTTGGCGCCGCGCATCGAAAACAACACACACACTGTCGGATGTCTGGTTCTTTTCCGCCCTTCCAGAATAGGCCGCAACACACTCAGGTTCAGGACGTCGAAGTCGCCGGCCGCGGTGATCGTTATGCACATCCCCGCGAGCGACTCGGGCTTGAACAGGACGTTGTCTTCCATCACCAGCCAGACGTCGTCTGGGTCGTAGTTCGTGGACAGATCCTCCCACAGCGTGACGTGTGCGAGAGCCGCCCCAACATTCCCGAGCTTGTCTGTCCCAGGAGGCTTAGTGTACTTCATTCGGATAGCATTGGTGAGCACCTCGGGGCGCTCCTTCACTATCACTCCAGGCCAGACGCTGTCGGTCCAGTTGACTTCGAAGCCATGCATGCAAGCGCTGCGGCGCACGCGATCCAACTTCCAAGTGTCCTGCGCCAAATGATTAATCCTAATACCTGCAATCCTGCGCCCCCCCTTGCACTGAAACGGGGTCCACATGTTCCGCGAACAATTGTTCGCCCTGGCCCGTGCCAAGATGTTCTGATACATAGAGATGCCCGTGTTGAACGAAGCTTCGATTTTGGCAAAGTCTGACATCGCCTTCGTGCCCTTAAACTGATACCTCACAGAAACTATCAGCTCGTCCCTGTCAGCTGCTGGGAGCGCCTCCAGCATTTTGGTCAGCTTGGCAACATTCCCCGGCTTATGGAACCTGGCCATCTCTGGGAAACGGTCCACGAAATCCCGCCTCGACTTGTTATCGGAATCTCCGTTGACCTCCTTCAGGCAGACCCTCTGACAACTTTCCGGATCTGACAGAGCAGGCACCCTCAACAAATTCATAGACGTCGCAGGTCTTGGACCTGCCCGCCCGGGAGCGACCACATGCTGCACGAGTCCCTCTGGGCTGGCGAGACTCCCGCTCGTGAGCCACACCCAGCCCAGAGCCAGGGTGCACGCCACGAGGAGGTAGACGTACGCCTGCCTCACTGCGGACATCGCTCCCGCAGACGGCGATGAGCCGATGTTCCAACCGGAGAAGGAGGGGGAGGAGAGGGCGAAGGACAAGGAAGAGGAGGAGGAGGAGGAGGAGGAGGAGGAGGACGAGGACGAGGGGGAAGGGGGGGAGGGGAGGGGGAGGGGGATGGGGAGAAGGAGGGAGAGGAGGAGGAGGAGGAGGAGGAAGGAGGAGGAGGAGGAGGAGGAGGAGGAGGAGGAGGAGGAGGAGGAGGAGGGAGGAGGGAGGAGGGGGAGGGGGAGGGGGAGGAGGAGGAGGAGAAGAAGGAGGAGGAGGAGGAGGAGGAGGAGGAGGAGGAGGAGGAGGAGGACCTCCCCGTCCCCCCGTCTCCCCCGCCCTGCCCATGGCAGCGGCGGTGGTGAAACATCGGCCCATCCGACGGGGCCCGCCCGCGGACGACCCCCATGCCGCGTGCGGGCCGCCATGGCTGCGGTTTTGTCGGGCCCGCCCCCCTACACGGGGATTTTGGGCGACAAAACAAAAGCAATCAAAAATGATCAAGCAAATCATCATACATATATACTCCAGATTTCGTAATAAAAGGGAGGGGGTCTGGACCCTCCAAGACAAGCCATTTCAAACCTCCCCCGTGGGAGAACCCTCCAAGACATCGTCCCCAGACCCCCCAGGCCCTCCAGGATAGCCTGGAAGAGACCCCCCCCGAAATGAGACCCCCCTCCCCTGCTTACGAAATCTGGAGTAATCATATCTATATACACATCAAATCGTCCCCATAATATTTGTTTGAACTATTGTTGACTGTTCCTCCAGTAGAGGGGGAGGAGGAGGAGGAGGAGGAGGAGGAGGAGGAGGAGGAGGAGGAGGAGGATTTGGGCCGACAAATCAAAAGCAATCAAACATGATCAAACAAATCATCATACATATATATATATATATATATATACACATCAAATCGCCCCCACAATATTTGTTTGGACTATTGTTGACTGTTCCTCCAGTGGAGGGGCAGGCCCGACGGAAGGCCACGGAGCGCCGTCCTCCAGGGGTGCGGCATCGCGAGAGAGCGCACCGCGGCGGGGCCCCCGCGGGGCACGCCACGGCGGGCGGCCCGGGGGGAGGCCCTCGCGGAGGCGGCGCCGCCGCGCGGCAGGTCGTTCGGGACGCCTCTGGCGCGAGGGCCGAGCAGGGCCAGCTCCAGCGGCGTCGCTAGGAAGGCACCAACTATACACCAACACCGATCCCGGCCCAGGATCACCCTGGGCCCAGGATCGGCGTATACGCCTGCCTGCCCTGCACAAGAAGGCATACACACCGATCCTGGGCCCAGGGTGATCCTGGGCCAGGATCGGTGTTGGTGTATAGTTGGTGCCCTCCGAGTCGCGCACGGGGGGGAGCGGGGAGGAGGCAGGCCTGCTCAGACGGCGGCGGGGCTTCTCGGAGGCCCTCGCGCTGCACGATGGGCTTCCCGAGGCTCCCGCGGAGGCACGGAAAGACTCCGGAGAAGGCAGGGAGGGCTTCCGAGGAGGCCCCGCCAGCGTCCGAGCAGGCGTGCCCCCTCTCGCTTCCCCCGGGGCGCGCCGCCCCCACCCGCTATACTCGCCATCGCTCGGGCACCCAGATTCCGTGCATGTTTCGACGTCGTGCGTCCATGCTTCCGCAAGGTGATCCAGAATCTTGTTCGATGGTCCTCGCCCCACGCCCTCGAAAACAAACGCACAGGTCCGAGCAATACCAAGATTAGACATCAAGCGCTGCCCGACAAGTGTTCCAGCTCATTATGTACAACATGGCTGAGGGCGACTGGGAGGTGCCCCGCCACGTCCCCAGGGGGGTTCAGGAGTTCTTCAGGCGCTCGTCAGGGGTCCTTGAGATTCACTGCTGTGCTTTGGCTTGACTCGGATATGGATTGCATTGCATGGCATGGTATTGCATGTCGGAGCTTAGCATGGCATGGTATTGCATTGCATAGATGTTCAGTGGCATCGGCATTGAAAAGCACTCTCCACCCCGAGCTACGCCATGCTTTGCTGCGCTGTGCTATGACATGCATGGCACCGATATGGCATGCTGCGCTGTACTACGATTATCCGTGCTACGCTACACTATACGACGTTATAGAAGGCCAGACAGGCAGTGGAAATGCCACGATATGCTATGCCACGAATCGCCATGCAATGCTGCACATTCTTGCTATGTCACGCTGGGCGGTGCGAGGCTACGCGCTGCTGTGCTACAACACGGCGTGCTCTGCGAGCCACTGCATCTGCTGCGTACGAGTTGAGACCCTTAGTTCACAAAATTGCCGAGAAACCTGAGAAGGGTTCGCACAACTCGCCATCGCTCGGACGTCCATTCCCTGTGTGTTTTTCGGTTTCGTGCGTGGCTTTTCCGCCGCATGATCAAAGATGCTCCGCGATAGTTCTCGCCGAGAAAACATGCACACGTCCGAGCGATGCCAGGGAACTTGACTACGCCCGCCCGACCCCGGCGCTCGAAGTGCTGGGCGTGCCGCCTCGGGCCCTCGCGGGGGCCCGCCGCCGCTGGACCGGCGGGAGGCCGACCCCCCCCCCGTCGGCTGGAGCCTGTTTTTTTTTAGACTCTGGCAAGTTTACTTGCATGGACGGGGGGGGGGGCTGAGCCTGAAGCAAGCCCGGGGGGGGGGGGCAGCGCGGAAATCACGCAAGTCGAAAGGCACTTGCACGCTAGTATTCGCGTGAAGAGGGGCGAGGGGGGGGGGGGGGGGGGCGAACGCCATGCAAGTAAACTTGCCTGAATCCAAAAAAAAACAGGCTCCGGCGGCCCCCGAGCCGAGGGCCGGCACGAGTGGCCCGCACCGCACCCGCGCGGGCCGGGGCTGGTGCACTGGCCATCGCGCGGACGTCCATTCCCGGTGCTTGGAGGTATCGTGCGTGGTTTCTTCGCCAAGTGACCAAGGATGCTCCTCGATGGTCCTCGCCGAAGGAGAAGTACACACGTCCGAGCGATGCCAAGTGCACGGCCACGTCGGGTGCCAGAGGCGTGCGCACCGTGGAGGCAGGGCTCGAGCTGAACGGTGTTTGCCGTTGTCGCTTTGTCGTCGTTTATCCCTCGCTCTGTCTGCGTTCCACCCCTGCTGCAAAACGAGAACGGTCCACGAAGTGGGCAAAAACAGCGTTGAGCTCGAGCCCTGCGTGGAGGCACTGCCGGCATGGCGGGATGCAGCGCGAAGGTTCCCAGACAGGTGCGCAGGAGTCTGGGACCTCCGCGGGCAAGAAGCACGGATCTGGCTCAAGGGGGTCTCCCCTGAGGGCCTAGGGGCGACTGGCCCAGATCCGCTCGGCAGGGAAGGACGGCAGGGGCGCCTCCAGCACGAGATCGGCTCCATTGTGATTGGCTGCTTGACGCGCCAGAGATGGATCGCCACCGAGAGCACACCCCCAGGGCAGATGCAGTCGTGCAGCTGTGGCGCCGCGGCGGACTGACTCTGCTGCGCTCTCCTGCGCTCCCACCCCTCCCCCCCCTCCGCCCCCGAGAGCGTCAAGATGCCCCCGTGAGCCTGTGGAGGCACCCGAAGGGCCTCAACCAACTACAGTCGTTGAACACGCCCGATCCTCGGAGCACGATCCCGGGTACGCTTCGGCGGCGAGCCCGGGGGGAAATGAGAAGGAGAAGGTCTTCTCAGAAGGCTCGGAATTTCCCCAGCCTTCCAAGGAGTTTTCTAAGCCTTCCCCGAAGACACAGAAAACTTCTCAGCAGGCCTGAGGGCTTCTGAGAAGTGCCGCCGCCTTCTGAGCATGCCTTCTCCCTCTCACGTCCCCCCCTCGCTCGCCGCCGACAAGAAGCTCGATCCTCGCAACACGATCCCCGATACTCTTCCTCCCCATCCCCCCTCCATAGGAGGCTACATGCGAACCCTTCCCCACCACCCCACGATTTCGAAGGGGGGAGGTGGGGTCGACTTCGCTCGGGAGGTCTCGAACGAAGTCGACCCCGCCTCCCCCCTCAGAAATCGTGGGGCGGTGGGCGGGGGGGCGGTGAAGACCAGGAGGCCACATGCGAACCCTACCCCACCTCCCCCCTCAGGAATCTCGGGGTGGTAGGGTAGGGTTCGCATGTCTGGGGCGCGCAAACATGGATTAGCGATCCATGGATTTGGCGCGCGGTCGCCACATCCATGGATCGGGGGAGGTGCCCTCCCCAAAATGCGGCCGGTGCCGCCTCACTCGGCGGCGGAAATCCGCGAGTTCCCATGGAAACGGGGCCCGTCGCTAATCCACCGCCCCTTAATCCATGTTTGCGATCGCCTGAGCACGTGGCCTCCTGCTCCCCACCGTCCCCCCGCCCACCATGGCAGTGCCGAGGGGGGCCACCACAAAGGGGGTCGCGACCTCCTCCGGGAAACGGACCCCCCCTGTCGCCAAGGTGCCCAAGCACGTCCAACACCTGGGCGATGCTCGACCTTCTCTCTTCCTCCTCCTCCTCCTCCTCCTCTTTTTCCTCGTCTTTCTCCTCCTCCTCCTCGTGGTGGGCCAATCTTCCACCACCACTACTATATGTAGGACGGGGGATACGCGAGGATGAGGAGGTCCTCCTCGTCCTCCTCCTCCTCCTCCTCCTCCCTTTCCTGCTTATGGTAGTGGTGGTGAAAATCTGACCCATCACCTCGGACCTCGATTTCCAAGGGGAGGTGGTGACCACCCTGGTGGGACCCCCCCCAGCAGCACCCGAGCCCAAGTCCCTCCTCGTGCCACGAAGCGTGTGCGCACACGGCTCGACGTGCACTTCCTGCTGCTGCTCCCCCTCAAGCCTCCCCCCTTACACCTCCTCCCCCCCCCCCCTACTCTGGGTTTCTTACTGAGCGTGGGGGGGACCCCCCTCGACGGGGGCCAACCTCGCCTCCTCGTCGCGCTGCGACGGGGGGCGGAGCGCCTTCGGCGCGCGGTGGCCGCCCGCGACGGGGGTCGATGTGGCGCTGCCGGCGGGAGTGACGCCCCCCCCCACGCTTATCAAAGAAACTCGGAGTACTCTCCTGGGGCGCACAGGGTCATATTAACACTACATGTCCTCCTTGGAGGCGCGCGTCCAACCCGAACATGTAGTATACCCATCTTGTAGTATATCGTTTCCCGAGCGGTGCGGCCAGAAAGCGCCCGCCACGACGCATATACTATTGAGATTTCTCGGTGCGCGCGCACACCTAGAATAAGTATGTTGGGGTGACGCCGATCTCCTCCCCCCTCCCGCTCCTCCATGGGAGGTGCCCAGGGATCCCAGTCCCCGGGAGGCACCCGGACGCCTCCCTGAGGCCCCGACCACTGCCCCGAGGCACGGGAAGCTCGAGCTTCGCCCTGCGCCCCTCGACCCTCCCTCTGGCGCAGTGGACTCGGCTCCTGAGGGCAGGGATTAGGTCGGGCGTGTCCCCTACCGGCGGCTTCTGGACGAAGGTGAAAAGATAGCCGACGAATGCTCAGACAGTGCCCAAAAATAGTCACAACAATTCGTCCCCAGACTATTGCTGGACTGTTTTTGGAGATGCCTCCTGTAGAGGGACGGGCCCGACTCAAGGCAAGGGGCCTCAGACCCTGGGTCGTTTCCCCAAAATGCGGACTCGAACTCTTCATCCTGATGCTTCTTCGACGGCTCTGGGGCCTAGGAAGGACCCCGAGAGCCCGAAAACGGTGGAAACATCGCAGTCATCCTGATGCTCTTTGGCGGCCCTGGGGCCCAGGGAGGACCCAAAAGTGCGGACCCGAGCTCTTCATCCTGATGCTACTTCGACGGCCCTGGGGCCCAGGGAGGACCCCGAGAGCCCGAAAACAGTGGAGACATCGCAAGACCCGTTTCCCTCGGAACCCGATTGCTCCATTAGAGGCCACCCAAATCGGGTCCGAAGGGTCGGAGGATCGCGCTGAATCACCAATGCAGCGATGCATTCGCGATGCATCGGTGCCGTCGGCAATGCGTCCTCGCCGTCGGCACGGCGAACGTTTGGCTCCACATCGAGCCGCATCTCCGATGCATCGGCGATGCGACGCGACCCTCCGACCCCATCTGCTCGGACCCCTGTGGGAGGCCTGGATTCCTGGTGATCCCTCCAGCCCTTCTCTTTCCTCGCCTCCTCTCCCCCCCGGCTCCTCCAGGCACTGCACAGATCTCGGCACCGGCCGAGCGTCGTCGCCCGCCTTCGGTATCGCTATGGGCATCAGCACGTCGAGGTAGTCCTGGGCCCCGGGAGGGAACGGGAAGGCGGAGGACTGTCGCCTGGCAGAAGACATCATAAGCACACATGTTCGGCTATCCGCGCAGATCTCTCGGATCAGCGGCTTCAGCGCCAGACTCCCCTCCCTGGCGCGCGGGGCGCGCCAGGGGCGGCGGCGGAGGCGCCGCCAGGGCGGTCCAGCGCCGATTCAAGCTCCCCACGGACCTCTGAAAATGCATGGTCGTGTTGCTCTTGCTTTTTCGGTGAACATCAGACCACCCTGCAGACACACGCCTGAGTGGGCGGCACGTCCATATCCAGGCGCGGCTGATGCCCCCACATGAGAATAGGCCTCGTGGCAAGGAGGGGGGCAACGAAAATTAGCTTGGCGAAAGACCCAACGATACGCAGCTGTGAATACCGCAATTGTGAATACCATCTTCGTCCACGCTCCCTATGTGGCCACGGCTTCCCGCGGGAACCCGCATGCTCAGGGACGCTTTCGCGGCCGTCTTCGCGGGCGCCGACGACGACGAGGACGGCGCCCCCCTGACCGAGGAGCAGAAGCAGGAGAGGGCTCTGAGAGCCACGAGGGAAGCTGCCACAGGCGCCTTCGGTGAAGCTCCTATGGTGCCACGATCCTCGTGAGGGGTGTGCCGAAATGGCCCGAGGCCGCTATGCGAACCCTGCCGCTGAGGCCTTCAGTGGAGCTCCCTATGGGGCCACGATCCTCGTGATGGGGTGTTCCGAAATGGCAAGGGGCCGCCATGCGAATCCTGCCAATGGCGCCCTCAGTGGAGCTAGGCCACGATCCTCGTGAGGGGTGCGCCAAAATCGCTCACTGCGTAGTTGGAGCTCCCTATGGGGCCACGAAACGTGTGAGGGGTGTGCCAAAATGGGTGCGGGGACGCCATGCCAGTTCCGCCACTGGGACCGTAGTTGGAGCCCCCTATGGGGCCAACGAAACGTGTGAGGGGTGTGCCAAAATGGGTGCGTGGACGCCATGCGAGTTCCGCCACTGGGACCGTAGTTGGAGCTCCCTATGGGGCCACGAAACGTGTGAGGGTGTGCCAGAATGGGTGCGGGGACGCCATGCGAGTTCCGCCAATGGGACCGGAGCTCCCTGTGGGGCCACGAAGCGTGTGAGAGGTGTGCCAAAATGGATGCGGGGACGCCATGCCAGTTCCGCCACTGGGACCGTAGTTGGAGCCCCCATATGGGGCCACGAAACGTGAGAGGGGTGTGCCAAAATGGGTGCGGGGACGCCATGCGAGTTCCGCCACTGGGACCGTAGTTGGAGCTCCCGAGGGGCCTCGAAACGTGTGAGGGGGTGTGCCAGAATGGGTGCGGGGACGCCAAGCGAGTTCCGCCAGTGGGACGAGCTCCCTGTGGGGCCACGAAAACGTGTGAGTAGTGTGCCAAATGTGCCAAAATGGATGCGGGGACGCCATGCGAGTTCCGCTACTGGGACCGCAGTTGGAGCTCCCTATGGGGCCACGAAACGTGTGAGGGGTGTGCCAAAATGGGTGCGTGGACGCCATGCGAGTTCCGCCACTGGGACCGTAGTTGGAGCTCCCTATGGGGCCACGAAACGTGTGAGGGTGTGCCAGAATGGGTGCGGGGACGCCATGCGAGTTCCGCCAGTGGGACCGGAGCTCCCTGTGGGGCCACGAAGCGTGTGAGAGGTGTGCCAAAATGGATGCGGGGACGCCATGCGAGTTCCGCTACTGGGACCGCAGTTGGAGCTCCCTATGGGGCCACGAAACGTGTGAGGGGTGTGCCAAAATGGGTGCGTGGACGCCATGCGAGTTCCGCCACTGGGACCGTAGTTGGAGCTCCCTATGGGGCCACGAAACGTGTGAGGGGTGTGCCAGAATGGGTGCGGGGACGCCATGCGAGTTCCGCCACTGGGACCGTAGTTGGAGCTCCCTATGGGGCCACGAAACGTGTGAGGGGTGTGCCAAAATGGGTGCGTGGACGCTATGCGACTTCCGCCACTGAGGGGTGTGCCGACAGAGAGACATGCGTAGGGCAGAAGCAAGGAGGGGGAGGAAGGGAGGCAGCGGGAGAAGAAGGAAGGAAGGAGGACGAGGGCGCTGTCTCTTCAAAACGAGGACCCAACACCACATGATGGTTGGGAAAAAACAACAAGGGCCCACGCATCTGCGTGGCCTAAGACGGGAAATCCGTAGACCAGCGTCCTTGCGTGCAGCCTGAAAGTCGTCTCTCGAGGATGAGACCGAAGGAAGTGCAGCATGCCTCATTCCTCGAGCCGAACGCCCCAGGAGGCATGCACGGGGAATTGAGTTCTCGATCACGCTTCAGGCTCCACCTCTCCGCAGGACCCAACGTTGAGCGCAGCACCCATCGATGTTGGGTTGGCGGCCTGATGCAATGCGAGTCCAGCAACACTGAAACCCTTGAGCTCCCCTCTGAGGCATCGGGTGGAAGGCGGATGGGGGAGCAGCAAGCAGCAGGAGGCGGCGGCGGAGCTCGGCGGGAACACGACGCTGACAGCCTGGAAACAGGACCGATCGAAGCCAGCTCTAGTGCCCAGACTACGCTAACAGGAGCGGTGCATTCGTTCTGTGGGGGGCTTGGGCGCGCCTGCGCTAACCCGGATCGGATATGTGTATATAAATATAGATAAGGTCATGTCGCGCGCATTCTTCGACAACACCTTTGAGGCTTCTGACGCAAAACAACGATTGTAACAACATAGAGACGTTAAAACTCGAAAACGACGCTTAAAATACGCCAGGTAAACAACAACTTGGGAAACTACAAGGCACTAATACCGCTACTCCCCGGACCTCTCCTGGGGTGCGTTCTGACCAAGATTTCGAGGCGAATCCAGCGGTGGTGACGAGGGCCTGGCCCTCAAAAGCGAAACCGAGGCAAGGGCAGCGGTATTGGTACTTGTCCCTCCCCTGGATAACACACCCGTGGTTCCCAAGAGGGCACACGAAGGCCTCTGGGCGGATCCTGAACACAAGATGCTCGCGCTAGGTCGGGCCTGTCCCACCACAGGGGGATCTTGGGCGAAAAAGTAAAGATTGTCAACATAAATACACCAAACATACTCAAACATCGAACATCGTCCCCAGACTATCAAAAAGAAACAAAAACAATGTTTGAAGATTCCTCCTGTAGAAGGACAGGCCCGACGTAATGCGTGCGCTCAACTTGCCGTCGCTCGGACGTCCATTTCCCGAGCATTTGTCGGTTTCGAGCGTGTTTTTTTATTCGATGGTCCAGGATGGTTCTCGATGGTCCTCGCCGGAGAAAAAATGCACACGTCCGAGCGATGCCAGGTCAAAGGGCTGGCGTGGCTCCGGGGCTAAAACAGGGCTAGGATCTGGATAAATCGCTCCAGAGCTTTCCGGAGCGCTCTCAGAGCGTTCCGGAACGCTCTGGAGCGGCCGCGGCGCCCAATACATCCTCCAAACCCGCCGATTCTCAGAGATTTCGAGCTATCCCGATCCGATTTTGTCCCGATCTTCGCGTCGTTTGAGGGGCCCCGCCCACGGGCCGCTCGAGGCACGCGCCGCGGAGACCCTCGGGCCGCGGCCGCGGGGCCACGAGGCCCATGCCTGCGGGCCGTGATCCGGCCCGCGCGCCGCGCACCACTGAAGGGGCCCCGGGACACACAAACATATATATATATATATGTATGTATGTATGTATGTATGTATGTATATATATATATATGTATATATAATACACACAAATAAAAACAAAAGGATTCCTCATATTTCCCCAATATTTCCTGGGTGTTTGTCCTCCCCCCCACTTCACATATTTTTCCACCAATTTTCTTGGGAGTCGACGATTCATTGTGTCTGTGTGTTCCTTCCCCTCCCGAACCACTGGGTTTTTTTCTTCCCCCCCACTTCCCATATCTTTTCCTCTACTTTCCTGGGGGTCGACGATTCCTTGTGTCTGTGTGTGTTGTTTCCCCTCCCGAACCACTGGGCTTTTGTCTTCCCCCCCCCCCTTCCCATATTTTTTCCTCTACTTTCCTGGGGGTCGACGATTCCTTGTGTCTCTGTGTGCGTGTTTCCCCTCCTGAACCACTCCTGCGTCCCACATGCTTGGCGTCGCGGCCGCGCGCGCGGCGGCGCGGCGCCCAATACATGCTCCAAACCCGCCGATTCTCAGAGACTTCGAGCTGTCCCGATCCGATGTTGTCCCGATCTTCGCGCATTTTCCTGGGAGTCGACGATTCATTGTGTCTGTGTGTGTTCAGGGGGACGTAAGACCCGGGTACAGGGGACTCGGAAATGCCCGACGAGGTGTGTGTGTGTGTGTGTCTGTGTCTGTGTGTGTGTGTGTCTGTGTCTGTGCTCCTTCCCCTCCCGAACCACTCCTGCGTCCCACCGTGCGTGGCGCCGCGGCCGCGCGCGGCGCGGCGGCGCGGCGCGGAGAGAAGAGGTCGGAGGAGGGCGCGCGATCACCGCCCCGGGGGGCGGCGAGCGGAGGGGGCCTCGGCGGCGAGCGGAGGGGGGGGGGAAGCGAGGAGGAGGAGGTCTGCTCAGATCGGGGAGACGTGAGACCCGGTTACGGGGAGCTCGGAAATCCCCGACGAGGTCGTCAAAAAAATGACGAGGCCGAGCCTGCATTTTGACGAGGCCTCCCGCTGCAGACATCCAACGAAACTCCTACTCGTCAAAATCCGAGTCGCGGTCGTCAAAAAACGATGGCGAACCCGAGTCCTGGCAAACCCGGGTCTTACGCTCCCCCGATCAGAGGGCGGCGGGACTTCTCAGAAGCCCTCAGGCCTTCTGACAGAACGTCTACGCCTTCGGGGACGGCCTGGAACAATTCCTCAGAAAGCCGGGGGACTGCCGAGCCTTCTGTTGTGTCGGGCGTGTCCCCCCACAGAGGGATTTTCGACGAAAAATCAAAGCATCGCCGGCCCAACGGGCCAGAGGCGTGCTAAGATCTCCGGTAACAGGTTAACAATATCTCTAGTTCGCGCGCGCGGGGCGGCCCCTGAGGGCCGCTGGATCAAAAGTACCCCGAGAGGAGCCCGAGAGGGTCCCGGGAGGAGCCCGGGAGGGTCCTGGGAGACTCCCCCGAGGCCCTCAGGATCGCCCCAAGAGGGCCCCGAAGGGCCCCCAACATGGTCCAATAGAGCCCCGAGACGCTCGAAGATCGCTTCATGACACCCAAGATGGCCTCTTTTTTGGCCCAAGAGGCATCCAGGATGGCCCAAGGCACAAGAGGCTTCCTAGAGCACTTCCTCGAGCGCTCCAAGAGGCGAAATTCAATGCTTTCCCTTAGGTTTTGGACAGATTTCGGCGTTTCCACCTTTTCGGCTTGCCGGCGCCCACAGACGGCTCACAAGATCCCCCAAATCGCCCCAAGAGTGGCCAAGAGGCCCCCAAGAGGGCCCCAAGACGGCCAAGACGGCCCCAAGAGGGCCCAAGAGGGTCCCGAGACGGCCCAAGAGGCGCCCAAGACGGCCCAAGACGGCCCCAAGAAGGGTCCAAGAGGGGGACCACGAACCGAAAGCTCGCGCCTTCCGCACAAGACGGCCCCAGGAGGCCCGAGAGGCCCCCAAGAGGCCCCAAGATGCCGCCAAGAGGCCCCCAAGAAGCCCCAGGAATCTCCCAGTAGGCCCCCCCAAAAGGCTTCAATTATCCCGGCAAAGCAACCTAACAGCGATGTGTAGGAGCATATCTGGAAGCATTCCCCTTAAGATTCAGATGAGAATCCAGTTGTAGAATTCTGCTGTTCTCGCAGTCGTAGTCGCATTCGCGATGACAGTCGCAGTGGCAACGGCAGTCGCAGTCACAGCCTCAGCCTCAGCCTGCCTCAGCCTCAGCCTCAGCCTGCCTCAGCCTCAGCCTGCCTCAGCCTCAGCCTCAGCCTGCTTCAGCCTCAGCCTCAGTCTGCCTTCAGCCTCGGCCTCAGCCTCAGCCTGCCTCAGCCTCAGCCTGCATCAGCCTCAGCCTCAGCCTCAGCCTGCCTCAGCATCAGCCTGCCTCAGTCAGCCTGCCTCAGCCTCAGCCTCAGCCTGCCTCAGCTCAGCCTGCCTCAGCCTCGGCCTCAGCATTCAAAAAATGTGGCCACGGGAATGGAATGGTTCTGGGAACTCGAAGAACACGAAGTGGCCTACAGTTGGCTCCGGGCATTCAAAATGTGGCCCAGGAATGGAGTTCTGGGAACTCGAAGAGCACGAAGTGGCCTACAGTTGGCTCCGGGCATCCAAAATGTGGCCCGGGAATGGAGTTCTGGGAACTCGAAGAGCACGAAGTGGTTGTTGGCTCCGGCCCTCCAGAATGTGGCCCGGGAATGGCGTTCTGGGAACTCGAAGAGCACGAAGTGTGTGACTGTTGCATCCGGTTATTCTAAAAGGTGGCCCGGGAATGGCGTTCTGGGATCTCGAAGAGGACGAAGTGTGTGACTGTTGCATCCGGTTACTCAGAATGAGCCTGGGAATGGAGTTCTGGGAACTCGAAGAGCACGAAGTGTGTGACTGTTGGTGAAAAACGAGCGGGGCCCCCTGCCGCCCGGCAACTCCCAACGCCTGCCCGGACCCCCCTGTGGAGTGATCTGTGAGCTCTTTTTACCCCACTAGAAACCTATCAGTCTTCGCTGTTAGGTAAAAATGCTTCCCGGGCGCCCCCGAACGGCTTCTCAAAGGACCCCAAAAGGCCTCCTCAAAAAGCATTTTGACGCCGACCCTGTTTGGCCCCAATAGCAACACAAGATGCCATCGAGAGGCTTCCTCCTCCGCCCCTTCCTCTCCTCCTCCTCCTCCTCCTCCTCCTCCTCCTCCTCCTCCTCCTCCTCCTCCTCCTCCTCCTCATACCTATCTGCATCCTCCTCCTCGCCTTATCATCCTCTCCTCCTCCTCCGCTCCCCTTTCCCGTCCTCATATTATTCCTCCTCGGCGGTGCCACAATGGCCCCGACCCCACGGCGAAGCAGTAGCGATCATGCAACATGGGCCGGCGGAGTGAGCGAAGCGATTGAATAATAAAAACCCCAAAAAAACCCAGACAAAGTCCCAACATACCAAAACATAGCCCCCAGGCTATTTTCGGATTATTGTTTGACCATTTTTGGTGTAAAATTCATCTTTGGTCGAAAATCTCCCTGTAGGGGGACAGGCCCGACTTGCGCTTTCTGAGCAGGCCTGCTCCTTCTCGCTTTCCCCCCCCGGGGCGCGCCGCGGAGGGCAGGCGGGGGAAGGACGGGGAGGCGGGGGAGGGGGCGGCGAGGAGACGAAACGGTATACGCGAAGGGGCCCCAGGACACACAAATAAATACACACAAGTAAAAAAGTTCCTCCATATTTCCCGATATGTCCTGGGTTTCTGTCTTCCCCACACTTCCCATTTTTCTATATATATATATGTATGTGTGTAAATAGGAAATCGACCATTAATTGTGTCTGTGTGTGTTTTTTGTTCCCCCTCCTGATATACGGCAGTGCCCAACCGGCAGGCGAGGCGCAGAGGGGCGAGGCGCAGAGGGCAGCGGCAACGGCAGCCACCGGCGGCGGCGGTCTCATCAGGAGCAGGAGTCTCGATTCGCCGAAATCGAAGGGGATAACAAAAAATGCTCTAGCTCCTCGAGTGCGCTGTAAAGCGGGGTCAGTGCCCGTGGGGGGGGCCGCAACGCCTCGGCACGTCCACGGAGGCGCCGCCGGCGCTGCTGCCGCCGCGCCCCCGCTGCCAGCGGCCCCAGTCGACAGCGCGAACTCCTCCTGCTGCTCGTTCGCGTTCACGCTGGCTGCGAACTCCTTCGCCTCCGTCGTCGCCCTGGAGGTCTTCGCGTTGAAGCCCAGGGTGTTGTTCTTCCTGGTGAGCGGGATGCCCTTGGTGAGGTCGCCTCCTGGGCACATGCACATGCCCGTGTTCGCGCTCAGCCAGAACTCCGCACCCCTGTCCATCACTTCGAGCAGCGAGAGGATCGGCTTTGATGCCGCGTCGCCCAGCCTGAAGTCTGCCTTCAGCAACTTCGCCTTCTCGTTGTCGTCGTCGAAGGCCATCGGCACCGTCGCGATGGTGTCCATCATGATATCCTGCCTCTGCGCGTCCAGCAGTCTCGGCCCAGCCTTCGCAACCTGCTTGCAGCCATCGCTGAAAATGGTCGGCACGACGTGGCAGTCGCTCGCCGCGTCCAGCGTGATGAGGGCGGTCCCGTCGAGGTCCATGCCACAGCACTCTGCGTCGCCGTCCTCGGCCGTCATCGTCGCGCAGTAGAGCTGGTCACCGTCACAAGATCTTGCGCTCGAAGTCCGCGTGCTCTATCTTGGCAACCGTCTTCGGATCCGAACTCACTTGCTCGATCGCTGCATTCCCTTTGGCCTTCTCGTCGGCTAGACACTTCCTGCAGTCTGCCTTCTTGTGGCACGCCTTGTGGAAGTAGTCGCACTTGCCTGTGAAGGTGGCGTTGGCGTTGCCTTTGCCTTTGCCGTCTTTGCCGGAGCCTTTGCCTTTTCCTTTGTCATCGCCCTTCTGCTTTCCTTTGTCGCGCCAGTAGCAGTCCCGCGCTGCGTGGTTCGGCTTGTTACAAAGCGGGCACTTTTCGTTGCCGCCCTGCTTGCCTTTCCCCTTGGAGATCGTTTCGACGTCCATGTCGCTGCTGTTTCTCCCTGCTGTCGGCGGCCTCGCAATCGCTCCACTCTGGCCGATCACTGCCTCGACGATACAGTTCCGCATCTGCGTGATGTCGCTTCGCGCGCATCGCTGCGCCGACCGCAGCATTGTCTTGACGTCATCGGGCGCGTGCGTCATGATCGTGCTCGTCTTCATGCGCTGCGTGAAATATTCGCCCATCGCCCGCTCGTAGCGGGAGATTAGCTCGTCCCAGGCTATCAGCACTTCCGTGAAACACGCCTTGCAGAGCGGCGTCAAGATCTGCTGCAGCATCTGAGCGTGCTCCTCGTTCAGCCTTGGGCGGTGCTCTCAGCGCAGCCTCCTCTTCGCCTCGATGCCGTCTCCTCTCTGGCGCAACTTCACGATGCTCTGCGCCGTGCCTTTCGTCGTGCTCGCCAACAGATGGCACAGGCCCCGTCCGACCTGCACTCCTTGCTCGCCGATCTGCTCCACAGCGAACGACTCCTCTGCATCCCTGGCCAGTTCCAGCCCTGCTGCCCAGCCTTGCAGACCACAGAAACTCTCGAACAGGAAGACCCAATCTTCAAAATCCTCCCTCTTGCCTGTGATCCTCGGCGCTTTCCCGACGCCTCTAGAATCTAGCAGCTGCACCCCCGCCGCTGCCGCCTCGACTGCCATGGCGCGCTGGCGCCACTTGCCTTCTGGAAAGGTTCGTTATCTCACACCTGTCACCATGTAGATATGGTGATCAGGACTCGATGATATTTTGAGCCTCTGATGAGTTATGGCGGGAAACCCGCTCCAAACAGTCCAGGCCTCTCTTGGGCCACGCACAAAGGGCCTCTTTGGGCCTGTCCTGCACGCCGGGGCCCGTGTGGACCTGGCTCCACACTGAGAGCTTCAGGAAGGGCCGTACCCTCACTCACACGTGCAAGGCTTCTGGAGACCTCTGCGAACCTCTCAGGGCCATTGGCCATTGTTTGGGCAACCTCCTGGGGCCGTCTCGTGCTTGGCGGGGGACCACATTGGCGCACGGCGGCCCCCAGGTCCGGAGGCCCCTGGACCTGTCCAGGGGTGCGTTCTAGCCATACTCTCAGAAGGGAACCCCGAACCTTGGCAAAATCGCCAAGACGACCTCGATTGATTGCGCCCCCCGTCCCCCCACACCGGGTCCGCCCCCCCGTTCGTGGCGACACCCTACTCCTCCGCATCCTGCTCGCTGCCCACTCCGCCCCCAAGATCCTGGCGTCTCAATGTTTTCGAGCCGGGCGTACTCGCCACGTTTCGGGCCCTGGGACCCCCACAGGTCGATCGACGGAATTGCAACATTTCCCCCGCCTTACCGTGGCGTCCAGGTGTAGAGGGGGGGGGGGCGGGAGGGCGGCCGCCGTGGCGAGGCAACGGTGACGTGGCGGGGGCGGGTAGTGACGGTAGTAGCAATAATGCTTTGCAGTAGTAGGACTACAGGAGAAGCTACGACGACGATGGCGACCGCCAGCGTCGACGACAACGACAACGACGACGACGACGATGACAATGACGACGACCGGCCAACACGACGACGACGACGACGACGACGACGACGACGACGACAACGACGACGACGACCGACGACCGACGACCGACGACCGACGACGACGACGACGACCGACGACGACGACCGACGACGACCGACGGCGATGGCAACGACGACTGGCGGCGACGACGAATAAGCCCCCGACCATTGTTGCACCAGGTGGGCCAGCCACGGGCTGCCGCGAACCCTGGCCGCCAGCGCTCCCACGGGCGGCAAGCTGCGCGCGACCCTCAGGGTTGGGCTCTTCGGGGGCGCGCAGACATGGATTCGCGATCCGTGGATCTGGCGCGCGGCCGCCGAATCCACGGATCGGTAGCAGCGCGCGCGCTCCCCCGGATGCGGCCGGTGCCGCCTCGTCCGGCGGCGGGCATCCACGATTCCCCATGGAAACGGGGCCCGTCACTACACCCTGCGAAATACTTAAGAAATCATGGGTTAAGAAATTCATAGTCTCAGAACTTGAATAAAAACCCAACGTTCCTATTAAAAGCTTAAGATTTACATTGAAACGTTAAGAATAATCGAGACTCTGGCCAAAAACTTAAGTTTCTTAAGCATCGCCTAAGGTGTAATCACTGCCCCCTTAAATCCATGTTTGCGATCGCGTGGGTTGTGGCCCCCGTCGGCGCTGACCTCCGCCACCCCTGCCCTCCACTCGGCTTCGCGGCCACCGCGCGGGCCTGGAGCGGCCGCTCGGGGCGACCCCGGCACCCCCAGCACGCCCGTGGCGAGCCGATGGAAGACCTCCTTCCCCCCCTCCTCCTCCCCTTCCTCCTCCTCCTCCTCTCCTCCTCCTCCTCCTCCTGCTCCTCCTCCTCCCTCCTCCTCCCCTCCTGCTCCTCCTCCTCCTCCTCCTCCTCCTCCACCTCCTCCTCTCCTCCTCCTCCTCCTCCCTCCACCTCCTCCTCCTCCTCGTCCTCCTCCTCCTCCCCCTCCTCCTCTTCCTCCTCCTCCTCCTTCTCCTCCTCCTCCTCCTCCTCCTCCTCCTCCTCCTCCTCCTCGTCCTCCTCCTCCTCCTCCGCCCCTCCCCGCGATGAGGAGCCCCCGGGTGCGCCGCCAGGCTCCGCGCAAACCGACACCCCCGGGGTCGCGCCCTCTGCCGGGCGCGCGCGGCAGGTCCTTGGCGCTCTTGCCAACCTCTGCCAGCGTCGTCTCCTGGGGCGGGGCGGGGCGGGCTCTGCCAGCGGCAGGGGCGCGCCCACTCGAGGAAGACCTCGTAGAGGGCAGAAAATCCACCCTCATAAGAATCACCCCAGCACGCAAAGCCGCTTGGCAAACGCACCTGTAGAAAGAATCGAGCAGGGCAAGGCTGCTTCAACGTTCGTGAACGCCCGGGGCGTTTCAGCAACCGCCACTCGTCGGGTCCGGGTGTGTTTTCCTCCCCTGACCTCGGCCGCCCCTCCCTCCCCCGTGCCGTGCAGTGCTTCCGGAGGCTATTCGCCTGCCGGCGCGTCGGCAGGAGGAGTGACGCGTGAGCACGCCGGCGCTCATTCGCGGGCCTGCGGCTGCCAAGAGAGGGGCAAAGGAGGGAGCAGAAGCTAAGGGGGGTGACAGAGGAGGAAGCAGAAGGAGGAGGAGAGGATCATAGAAACAGCATGTCCTCCCCTCAAGCAGAAGTTGCACTGAGGGGCTCCCGCCTAGCTCTGGGGAATTTCTGTGCATTGCCTGGACTTTCGCGCCCAGTGCCCGCCCGCGGACGCCATGTGGCGATCCCTCCGCACCACCCTCGCAATTACCCGCAATTACATGTCTGGATAAGCGAAATAAGGGGGGCCCTTTTCTTCTCGCGAGCGTGTGGTTTAACCAAGAACTCAAGAATAGAACTGATCAGCTGAGCAAAGCTCTTTGACGGGCGGGGGCGGTTGCCACGATTGGGATGCGTCAGTCGGCAGCCCCACGCAACCCCACATGCCAGAGGCCCCTGCGAGGCGCTGTTGTCTTATGTTGCACACTCGGGGGGCTGTGCCCGTCCCATCGCGCCGCGCTGCGCGTCGAATCCATGGCGGGTGCGTGCAGTCCACGTCGAATCCGCGTCGTGCCCGCATCGGGCAGACAGAAACACCGGCACTTGCAGGACCGACAAGGTTCTCCGAAGATGCAATCTCACTTGCCCGACCGCAGCAAAGTCTCCGAGCTGCATCAAATAAGATGCAGCTGCACTTGATGGGCCCGTTTTTCACCACCACCACCATTAAGTTGGAGGGGAAGGGGGTCCTCCTCCTCCGCCTCCACCTCCTCCTCCTCCTCCTCCTCCTCCTCCTCCTCATTCTCCTCCTCCACCTCTCCGTCCTCCTCCTCCTCCTCGCCCTCCACCTCCTTCCTCCCTCCAACTTGTGGTGGTGGTGGTGGAAGACAGGCCCATCAGCACTCGGATCGGCGCTGCCCCTCCCCGGCGCGCGCTGGGGGGCGCCGCCGGCGAGGCGCCGACGGGGGCGGCACACGCCGACCCAGGCCGCGCGGGCCTCCGAGAGCTCGCGTTGGTGCAGGCTACAGTCGGGGTCATGACCTAAGGAACGCTGAAGAAGGAACGAGGTCCCTTTTTTTCATCCCAAGGAATAACGCATAAGGAACGATACGTAACAGATCACGCACAAGGAACTGTAACTAACGCATGTGTAAATCTGAGGAACGGCCGAGCCCCTTTTGAAAAGCAGGTGTTCCTGATGCAAGCCGCTCGCTGTATGGTCCACTCCTCCCCGGTGCGGTGCCTGGAACATTCCTCCTGTGGAGGGGCAGGCCCGACCTCACGCTGGAGACCCGAGGCCGATCCTCGCGCGAAGGCCCACGGCGGCGGCAAACCGACGGCGGCGCCGCCGACGAGCGGGGGGAACGAACGGGGGGAATAGCAGAGGGCTGGGTGGAGAATCAGCTCACGCAGCTGCTTTGCCCAGCGCCTCCCAGCGCCGGGAGGCGCCCACGTGTGTCGAGGAACGGGCCCCGGCGGCGGGGCCGACACCCGCTGCACGCAGCACACTCCGTGACCCCCTCTCCCTATTGCCCTCCCTTTCGTCCAGCCCGGGGGAGGGGGGAGGATGGAGGAGGAGGAGGAGGAGGAGAGGAGGAGGGGAGGAGGAGGAGGAGGAGAGGAGGAGGAGGAGGAGGAGGAGGAGGAGGAGGAGGAGGAGGAGGAGGAGGAGGAGGAGGAGGAGGAGGAGGAGGAGGGAGCCGCGCTCGCGCGAGTCCTCCCCGCCGCCGGACATCGGCGGGCCCTGCCCCGCGCCGGGCGGCGCGGCGGGTGGCCGCGGCACCTCCTGCGGGCCCGGCCGGGGGGGGGGGCACCCGCGCACCAGGCGCTGCGCCCGCGGGAGGCGCGGCGGGGGCTGCGCGCAGCAAAGGGCGGGCGGGGCCCGTGGTCCACATCTCGGGTCTGGCGAAAGGGGGTGATAGCAAAGGAGGGGCTTGATAATCAGCTCACGTAGCTGATTTTCCTGGCGCCTCCCGGCGCCGGAGGCGGCTATGTATCGAGGAATGGGCCCAGGCGGCGAGGCCGAAACCAGCTGCATGCAGCAAATTTCGTACCCCCCCTTTCCCTATCCCCCCTTTCGTCCAACCCGAAGCGCGCCTCGACCGAGGCGCCGTATCAATCGACCCCCCCCAAAAAACAGACCCCCCCTCCAGATGCGACCTGATGTTCTGGACCCCCCCGTCGACGGGGCGCCTTCACACACCGCACCTCTGAAGCTCCAATGCAAAGAAAGCGCCCTAATCATCTGGACTCCCCCAGTTACAAAAATGGCGCCTTAAAAACTGGACCCTCTGGACCATGAATAAGGGATTTGGATTCCGGAGAGGCCCGATGTTCATCCATAGCCACTGGGTCCCGGGTGTCCGGCACCACCTCCCCGAAGAGTCCAGGACTCCGTGGACAGGTTTGCCCGCAGCAAGGGCTGGCACGAGGGAGGCAGCCTTCCGACAGGCCATGGGGGCTTTTCAGAGGCCCTCCTGGCTCCGAAGGCGTCGTCTTAGTGGCCCGCGAGCCCTTCTGGGAAGCACCCCGCCTTCCTAGGAAGGAGAGCCCAGAATCGAATCGAGAAGTCGGATCGGCGATCGATATGAATAGGATCGGCAACGAAATCGGGAGAAGCCCAACCAGCGGAAATCGGCAGGCCACTGAGGCCTCCATCGAGAAACCAAGCCCGAATCGGAATCCGAGGTCGAATCCGAAATCTTCTAAAATTATGTCGGGCCTGTCCCCCCACAGGGGGATATTAGGCGAAAAATGAAACATTGTCAAAACATACTTAGCAAAAAAGCCTCCAACATACTCAAACAAGTCGTCCCATATACTACTTTCTTGCCATTCTGGAATACACACAAATAACAGGATTCACCATATTTTCCCATATTTTCTGGGTTTTGTCTTCCCCCCCATTCCCATATTTCCCCACATTTTCTGGGGAATCGATGATTAATTGTGTCTGTGTGTTTTTTCCCCTCCTGAGTAGAAGGCCAGGCCCGACTCGAATCTAAAACGAGCCCTCCTGGGAGGCCGCCCGCCTCGCGCCGACCGCCCCTCCTGCGCGCCGACGCGCCCGAAGGCCGGGCGCCGCCGCCTCCGCTCACGCGAAGGGCGCCCTGCCAGACCCGCATGCGGGCCGCGGGGCAGCCCCTCGGCGACTCCAAAGGGTGTGGTCTGCAAAGGGTTAGGTCGGGCCCATCCCCCTACAGGGGGATTCTGGACGAACCAAAAAATATACCCCAGAAATGCCCAACAGATGCTCAAAAATACTAAAAAAATAGTCCTCGGACTATTTTTTGACTGTTTTTGAATACTCCCCCTGTAGAGTCCTACACTGTAGAGGGACAGGCCCGACTTAAGCAACGGGTGTGGTTTGCAACCGGCACCCTGGGGAACATCCTGGGGGCCACCCTGGGGGGCGCGCGGGGACCTCGATGGAGTCCTCCCGCGCCCCGAGGAGGCCCGACGAGGACAGCGTCGTGCCCCCCGGCCCTAACGGTGCCGATCGCAAACCACACCCCGGCGTAAACCATACCCCAGTCGCCGAACTGCAGATCGCACCGCCCCGGAGGGGCGGCATCACAGCGTGCTCCACACAGGGGAGTACGATGTTCCATCCGACTTCAGCCCTGAGGACCAGAAGGAACTGCGAGTACCAAGGGAGCACCTAAACTTGCAGGTTTTCACGTGTCGGGCCCTGGGAGGCCACACTCGCTCGATACTTGTTCGAGACTCATCTGGGTGCTCGAGATTAGTTCTGGGATGTGGTCCTCAAGGACGATGGCAGCAACATAAACAAAGGAGTAAGGACAGCGCAACATGAGCTTCGGACGGTGCGCGCGGATTGCTTGGAGCTTCGCTGCGCACCAGGGTCGGCGCCAAAGGCGCCGCAAGGGGGCCCAGCGCCGCGCCAGGAAACCCAGCGCGGGCCTCCGAAAGCGTGTGTGCAGTTTTTTCTGCCTCGATCGAGAGGGCGGCGGACAAATGTGTCTCTGTAGGGCTCTGGTCATTAGGTTCCACCGTGTTCCAATTGTTCGCGACGTCGCCACGGCAGACCCGGGGACACGCCATGCCTTCCCAGTGGATAGTGGATCGCTCCACTCCGCGGGGCAGGAGGCTTCGAGAGGCTCGGGAGGTTGAGGCCTGGGGACTGGGAAGTGGATAGCGTGCGGACCGCAGCATGGTGGGCCAGAACCGGCGGAGCGACACGACATCAAAAACTCCAGACAATTTAGGGCGCGTAGATTAGGAGGCAACTACTGGACGAGCTTCGTCGGACGAAATAAGGAGAATTAAACCCCCCGGGGGCAGCTACTACGCCGGATGAGACCGCGGATTAGGCGGGATTCACAAGGATCCAGCGGGATGAGGCGGGACAAGGCGGGATCAAGCCGGATCAAGCCAGACTTCGGGCCAGGGCAGAGTCAGAATTTGACCTCCCAGGAGCTGCACCCGAATGTGGGGCTGAGGTTAGGTCGGGCCTGTCCCCCTACAGGGGGATTCGGGACGAAGAATAAAAAACACACGCAGAAAATGCCCAACAGATGCCCAACAATA